CATTCTTTGTCACTGTGCCTCTTGGCACTGGTGTCTGCCCCCTGTCTCTGCGCCTCTCATCACTGAGCCCCCTGGCGCTGAGGTCTGATCACCCCCCGTCGCTGCACCCCCCTGGAAGGGGGCTTTGCACAGCAGTGTGCCCCAATGAGGCCTCCTACTCCCCAAATAGCCTCAGCCTGGTCCATCGGATGAAACAATAACATAAATATGAGCCCCTGGGCTATAACATAATACAAGTCATAAAAGCCACACTCTGGCTCCTTAAAAACCCCACACTGCTCCTCACACATTGATCACCCCCCCAGCTCTGGGTACCTTATAGATTCCTAGAGCCTCATTAGCTACAGCATTCCTGGATAGCTCTGCTGTGCAGGCGCTCTCTTCCCCTGGCCTCTTGCCAGAGACCTCCTCCTGCCAGCCTTGGCCCTGGGGTTTATATGTGCCCAGAGGCCTATCCCCTTCCTGTCAGCTGACCGGCTTGGGTGGTTGGGCTATTAACCCCTACCCTCCTGGTGCTTGTTGTTCCTGTAGACTTGGGTCTTAAAGGGGCAGCTCTGCTTCTTAGTAACGGGGCTAGGGTTCCCTGTTACACCCCTAACCCTTCTCTTTTGTCTGGGGCTTCTGCTCTTTTTCTGACCCTTCTTCCTCTTTATATTGGCAGGAGAAGAAGTTGGCACTCACATTCTTGAATCCTGGACAATGTTCCACTACAAAACAGCAGGGCTGGAGGCTGAGAGCCCACTGCATTAGTTGTGTGTTGTTGGTCTTCATGTTCTGCAGCCATCATAGCAGTGCATAATCAGTTGTTAGGGTAAACTTTCACCCCAACAGAAAATACCCAAGTGTTTCTATGGCCCACTTAATGGCCAGACACTTTTCTCTATCGTGGCATAATTCCTCTCATGCAGGTGCAGTTTTCTACTTATATATGCTATTGGACATTTTTCCTTTTGGACTAACATCATTCCAATCACTCTATCTAATACATCTGTCTGGACTATAAAAGTCTTATTAAAATCTGGTGTATATAAAATAGTGGATGTCAACATAAAGCTTCCTTCACCTTCTGGAACTCTTCTTCCACTTCCGGTGTCCATCTCACTTGGGTTGGGGCTCCTGCCTTTATTAATTCTGTCAATGGCACTGTTAGCTCCGCAAAGTGAGGTATAAATTTCCTATAGTAATTTGCGAGGTCTAAGAAGGCCCTCACCTGTTTCTTTGTTCGGGCTGTTTGGTACCTTCGTAGTGCCTCCACTTTGTCCATCAACGGCTGTACTTTTCCACTCCCTACTTGGAATCTAAGGTATCTTGTTTCCTCTTTCCCAACTGTACATTTTTTTGGATTAGCTGTTAGGCTGGCTTTCCATAGATCTTGCAGCACCGCCCGTAATGCCGTCAGATGTGCAGCCCAGTCTGGTGTATATATGACAATATCATTGATATAGGCCGCAGCATAGCCCCCATGGGGAGCTAATATTTTGTCCATTGAGCACTGAAATGTTGCAGAAGCCCCATGAAGTCCAAACAGCATATGCCGGAACTGAAACAGACCCCACCGAGTTGCAAAGGCTATCTTTTCTTGATCTTCTGGGGCTAGGGGGACCTGCCAATAGCCCTTTGTTAAGTCCAATGTGGAGATATAGCTAGCTTGCCCTATATTCTCCACCATCTCATCAACCCTGGGCATTGGATAGGCATCAAACTTCACCACCACGTTTACTTTCCAAAAGCCAATACGAAGACAAATCTTTCCTTTTGGCTTTGGTACTATGACAATGGGGCTTTGCAGGTCACTGGGATTCCTGTTGGAGCAGGGCACAATACATCATCTCAATCTCTTCTTTTATCTGGCTCTGTAGCTTTTGTGGAATCTGCCTCCAGTTTTTATGGATCACTTGACCTGGAAGGGTCTCTATCTGGTATACTATGCCTTGGGCTACCCCGGGCATCTCCCAGAACACATCCCTGTATTCCTTTACCAAATTGATGGCCTGTTGTCTCCGTTCTGCTGACAGTTGTGGTGCCACCTCTGCGTTACCCTTCTTGTCCATTTTCCTCAGTGAGGGTCCCAGTTCTGGTTCGTCGGGATGAATGGCCGCATATAAACACTCTTATTCTTGCCACGTCTTCAACATGTTGACATGGTAAACTTGTTTTTTCTTCTTCTTATCTGGCTGGTGTATCTCATAGTCTACAGGTCCCACTTGATGTATAACTTTGTAAGGTCCCTGCCATTGAGCAAGTAGTTTACTCTCCCAGTCAGGTAAAAAAAACAATACTCTGTCCCCCGCCTTGAATGTCCTGTCATGTGTTCTTCTATTACAATGCGTTACTTGTCTCTTTTGGGCTTTGCTCGTATTTCCTGAAGCTTCCCTCCTCACTGCCTCTAGGCATTCCCTTAACTGTACCACATACGGGAGAAGATTCTTATCTTTACTTTGCTGCTCTTCCTAGCCTTCTTTAATCAAGTCTAGTATTCCCCATAGCTGACATCCATACAATAGTTCACAGGGGGAAAACCCTGTTGAGGCTTGGGGAGCTTCTTGTACTGCAAATAAGAAATGCGGCAACATGCGATCCCATTTCTGTGGGCTCTCTACCACAAACTTGTTCAGCATCTGTTTCAATGTTCTGTTAAAATCACTCCACTAGCCCATCAGTTTGTGGGTGTTAAATGACAGTCTTTAGGTGTCTAATTCCCAAGGTCTTGCTTCTGTCAGCAATTTAATTGAACTACAATAGTAACATAGTAGTTAAAAGCACTATTTCCATTTTCTCTGAAAGGTTATTCTACACTGGAAACAACAACACAGCACCAGGAAACAGGCCAGCAAACAGGAGAGTTTGAGTGGGAGTTCAAGTGGGGAGTCTGCTGTAGACTTTGCCAAGATAGTTTCTTTCTTACCCTTTCTTCTGACAGAAGTTATTTTCTCAGATAACTAGCAATACCAGGGACATCGATTTTATAAGAAAATGTAGCAATAGAACCTGTAAAAGTCATGGGCCAAAGTCTAGATAAGGTGGTGGAAGATTACTCTAAGGAAAAGTTTGGTGCTGGCTCCAGTGACGTGTGATCTAATAGGCATAACTAGGGATAAGCAAATGGGACTCCAACCCTGGGAACCATTTTAGAGGGGGAGCCAGTATGCTGTGGCATCAGCAGCCTGTGTATGAGGAGCAGCAGCAGCAGCTGGAGTCTTTGGATATCTGGGGTCAGATCAGGGGCAATGCATAAGGGGTGCATGCGGATGCATGTGTACCCTCTCAGCATGGCGGTGCACCCCCTACAAAAAGGCACCGCTGACAGTGCCTCCACTTGCCACTCTGCCACCAACACTGCCAGCAGTGTCTGTGGGCGGTCTGAGATCCCCGCTGGCCGCTGCTGCCACTGCTGGTGGTGGCTGCGGGTGGTCGCCAACCCTTGGTCGGCACTCGCCACCACCTCCACTGCTGCCAGCAATGCTGGTGGTGTCTGCAGGAGCTCCCCAGCTTACTACCGCTGCACTCCCGCCAGCACCACTGCACTCTTACTGCCCCCGTGCATCTCCAGCCACTGGTGGCATGCGTCGTTCATGGATCAGATAAGATTCTTTAGCATTTGCCACCTCTTACCCTTCTGCTCCCCCATGCTCAGCACCCTGCCACTCCCTTGGCTTCTTTACCCTGGACATCAAAATTTCTAGTTATGCCTCTGCTAACTTAAATAACTGCAGGGCAAGTGTGGATATGGGTACTGGCAGTGCGTAGGGGGTACACATGGATGCATGTGCACCCCCTGAGCATAGCGGTGCACACCCTGGGAAAAGGCACCACCAACACTGCTGGCGGCACCTGCGGGTGGTCGCCACTCGCCACTGCTCCCCCTCCCCCTTGCCGCTGACACCACTGGCAGCATTTGCAGGCGGTCCATGATTGCTGCTGGCCACTGCTGATGCTGCCAGAGGTGTCTGCGAGTGGTTGCCGACCAAAGGTCAGCACTTGCCACCTGCCCCTGCTGCCAACAGTGCCATGGCTGCCTGCGGGAGCTCCCCGCTTACCACTGCCATGCTCCCACTACTGACAGCGCCACTGCCTGTGGGAGCTCACCGTGCCCTCCCCCCCCAGCCTCTGGGGGCACGTGGTGTTCATGGATATGGGGAAAGGCTGGCTTATCCCTGGTAGATCCACTCCTTTCACTACCTGCCTCTCCGGAGTTCAGTGAGTTTATGGAACTGTCATCTTCAGGGCCAAGATTGTATGGCTCCCTTAAGCATGCTCCATGAATCATGTTGTCTTCCCTGCAACAATTCTTCAAAACTCAGAGCTTTAATAGACCTTGACTCTTTAGGCTGGCCTCCTTGTTTAACTGCATGTCTAATTACATGTGACAGTACACATATACACACACAAGCACACACAAGCACACACACACAAGCACACCTTCTGTCTATTTTCAGACCCTCAGTAGAAAAAATATCACGAATCTGGGACTGTTTTAATGCAGTTTCACAAATACTTCTTCACTGTGACATTCTTAACTCATTTTGTATTACCTTATAGTTTGACACATAATCTATATCATATTTTTCATACAGTACACTATCTTTTGGGTGTCTTTGTTTGATATGTATAATATAAGCAGAGGTAATGTTAGTCAGATTTCAAGATCTCTTCATCATATGTTACTCTGGAACACAGTGCAGTCCTATTATTCCCCTCAAACCTTCTCCACAGATGAGCTCCTGAAAGCATAAGCCCCTTTTTCTGAATTATGTTTAAATTTGTTCTTTGAAGGTGATCACACGTATGGAGAAAATCCATCAGTTGCATTTCCACTGCAATTATATCATACACTAAAAATAAAACTTCAGATGACTAGACATACTTGTACAAGAAATCTGAGTAAATAGAGTAACAAATACAATCTGTTGGTGCCATGTACCATAATAGTAATTTTTTATTTGGATACACCCTTTTCTCACTCCATCAAAAAATCTGGATACGTTTGGACCTGGTCTTACCTTGAATAGTTGTTGAACTTCCTTAATATCCTCCTCATTTTCATTTTGTAAGGTTTCCTTTGCTTGGTAATTGCCTGCATTATAGCTGTGTGTCCTAAATGAGAGGAGAAATTGCCTCCACATTGATTAAGTCAAGGGCTCTTCCTGAATCCAGTTCCACAGTGATTTTCCCAGACAAACACTATTCTTTAACTATGAAACAAAACCAAATCCCAGACATTGGGCTGAATGACAAGAGCATAGAGTTAGCTCTTCTTTTTACACCTATGGAAAAATGTCAGGGCTTCTTACAGCTTGCCTGCTTCCTACTGCAGCAGTTACAGTTGTGAAAGCAGACAGGATTATCTGCTCTCTGTGAATCAGTACCTTATCCAGAGAGTATTAGTTCATTGTTCCGGCTTAAAGATTAGATTTATTATTTTGGATGTCTTTGTATACTGAAGTAAGGTTCAAGAGAAAAAGAACTATATACTAAGGTTGAACTCATATCTGTAGGAGATGCAGGACATCTTCATAGACTGGAGTTCAATTTAGCATCCTACAGTTAATGGATTTTACTTGCAGCTTCTTGAGAAAAGAAGGAACAAGACACTAAGTGACACAGTTCTACTCTCATGCCCAACCACATGAAGGTGTTTAATTTAGGTCAATGGTATCTGACAATCACACAGTGCCCAGCTGAGTGAACAGATGGTCTACTGCTAATCCTTCTTGTCTCAGTGAAATACCATATTAGCAGCAGCTATGTCTACAGACAGACACTTAAACTATATTTAAAGACCAAAACTCTAGGTAGATTATTAATAGCCTAGTAATCTTGGCTTTATGCAGTACTACCAAGGTGTCTGGCTTCTATTTATCAACACCACTATAATTGGCTATGTAAAAGCTGATCTTCAAATATCTGATTTATTTACAGGGTGGATAAAAATCAATGATTTAAAAAAAACTAAAAATCAGATTTTTAAAATTTAAATCAGATTAAAAAATCATCAATAAAATACTAAATTTCTCTCTTGTTTAAAAAGTAACAGTTACAATTAAATCTCACCACAAACATACTAAACCTACACTTACAGTCTCACAAAAATGAATTAATGGCTCTGTCACACACACACACACTGAGTTACCTACCAATCAAACATGGGGATTCATTTCAGATTTTCATCTCACGAAAATGGCTCTAGTCTGTCTGTTCAGCCTCACTACCAGTACTTGTTTCTTGAAAGTTGTGAGCTTTCAGTTTCTGTTTCTCAGCGGACTGAAGTCACACATGCAAAGACCCAGGCTGGACAGGATTGTTATTATTCTGTGCTTATGTGGTGGTGGAGCTGGGCCAAGCAAGGCAGAGGAGTTAGTTAAGACACTGTCTTAAAGACAGAGAGACAATATAGGAAAGGATAGAAGCAGAGTAGAAAGGAACAGTGGAGTGGGCTGGAAAGAAAAAGGGAAGGCATTATTCAGTAGTACACACACAGCTTTCTATATTCCCCCAATTTTTGTGACAGAAAAACTGTCATGGCTTCTGGGTGTAAGAGAGACCCTATCTGGGAATATTTTGAAGAAATTCCTTCTCTGGGTAAAAAAGGAAAATGTGTCAAATGTAAGCAGTGCAAGAAGGAGATGCAGGGCCTAGTTACAAGAATGAAACATCATAATGAAAACTGCTTATTGGGAGAAAATGATGGGGATGAAGGTGTGGATATGTTTGAAGAACAATGTGGATCAACCGGTTAGTAAATTAAAGAATTCACTTTGCAATGCATCATTCTTCAAGACTCTCTCTATGCCTTTTAGTGTAAGTGTGATTTAACAAGTAAATTCCCAAGCTCTTTGCTATGTTGGATGTTGCTAGAAAAAAAAGTTTAGCTTAGCAAGTCCTTATGGCTTGTTTAATTAGTTAACTAGGTTTAGAATTGATCATCCAAGTTTACATTACAGAAACCTCCAGTAAGAGAAATCTAGAGTTGCAAGTTGCCACTGGGTGTCATTTTCTTATTTTATATTACATAATACATGCTCTTTATTTTGGAACATCGTGGCCCCAGACCATAATGGTGATGCCATAAGTCTGTTCCCTATTTTACTTCAGGATAACTCAGCTTTCCCAAGGGAACCTCATCCTATACTAGTTTGCTCAAAAAACAGAAGTGCCGGTGAGTTCAATGGGGCTTACTCCAAAATTGAGTGCACTCTAAGTGCAGTCAGTCTTAGTTTTTTTGGTAATTTTGAATTGGATCTGCATCCTTGCTGAAAAAAATGTAAATGATTAACTGAATAATAGAGTGAGAAGAACTGGGAAGAATGACTATTCAAAAATCATTTTTGTTTCAGGATCCCATTTAAACATAAGAGACTTTAACTATCTACCTGCAATAACTTCAGAGTCCTCTGTTGGTACTTTTAGCACCAGTGCTGCAACTAAGTGTATTTCAGACAACAAAATATCAACAAGTATCTTGAACTGTGTGCAAGAAATACTGAAGGGAAATTTGCCAGTTTAAGCCTTGATGGATGGAGCAATGTACACAATGATCCTGTAATATGTGCCTGTGTGACAACAGAAGATGGGGTTGCATATCTTTCAGAAACAATAGATACATTGGGAAATGCCCACACAGCAGAATTGGCAGTGAAAGCTGTAATAAACTGTGAACAAAAATTCAACTGTCACTTGCGCAGTTCTGTCACAGACAATGCTGCAAACATGGCAAAGATGAAAAGATACTTAGAAGAAGAAACGGAAGGATGCTCCTTAATAACATATGGCTGCAGTGCCCATTTAATGCAGCTTTTAGCCAAAGACTTAAGTACTTCTCCAGGAATAAAAGAAAATGTTGAAGTCACAAAATATTTCCGTAACAACCATTTTGCTTCAGCTTCACTGAAGAGAGCAGGAGGATCCAAAGTAATTTTCTCTCAAGATGTTCGATGGAATTCTGTGGTTGATTGCTTTGAACAATTTATTAAGAACTGGCCTATTCTCATACAAATTTGTGAACAAAACCATGATAAAATAGATGGAAGTATCTCATCCAAAGTATCTAGCATTGGATTAAAGAGGAATGTAGAGGATATGCTCAGTATACTGAAGCCTATATCCACTGCCTTAAACAAACTTCAGAGAGATTGTTGCTGCATTACTGATGCTGTCAAAATTTGGAAGGCACTTCCAGAGACATTGAAGAAAGAAATAAAATAGATGGAAGTAGCTCATCCAAAGTATCGAGCATTGGATTAAAGAGGAAGGTAGAGGATATGCTCAGTATACTGAAGCCTATATCCACTGCCTTAAACAAACTTCAGAGAGATTGTTGCTGCATTACTGATGCTGTCAAAATTTGGAAGGCACTTCCAGAGACATTGAAGAAAGAAATACCTAACCAGAAGGTTAAACTGTTGGCAATAAAGAAGCGAATGGATCAAGCATTAACTCTGCCTCATTTTCTTGGGAACATTCCTAACCCCAGATATAAAGGTAGATGCCTAACTTCTGAAGAAGATGATGCTGCCATGGCATGGGCATCTCAAAATCACTCCTCAGTTATGCCAGTCATAATAAATTTCAGGGCTGGAGGGGAACGATTTAAACAGTACATGTTTACTGACGATGTTTTGAACAAAGTCACTGGTAGAAATCATTAGCCAGGCACCTTGAAACAGAGGTCCTTCAGTTGCTAAGCTAACTTTTCACAGCAGTAGCTTCCTCTGCAGGCACAGAGAGAATATTTTCATCATTTGGTATTATTCACTCAAAGCTAAGAAATTGACTGGGAGTTGAAAAAGCAGAAAAACTAGTATTTCTGTTTCAGTCTATGAATACAAATGACAGTGGGGAAGATGTGATCTAGTTGTAGAAGTTTTAAGGACAGCATACGTTTAATGTTTTAGATTCATAGATTCATAGATCGTTAGGGGCTGGAAGGGACCTCGCAGATCATTAGGTCTAGCGCCCCTGCTCTAGGCAGGAAAACATCTGGGGTTAAGTGACCCCAACGAGGTGACTGTCCAGTCTCCTCTTGAAAACCTCCAGGGTAGGTGACTGCACCACATCTGGAGGGAGCTTATTCCACAGTCTGGACACCCTGACTGTGAAGGAGTTTTTCCTGGTATTAAGCCTGAAGCGGCCTTTCAGGAGTTTGTATCCACTGGTCCTGGTCTTCCCCAGGGGTGCCCTAGTGAACAGTTGTTCACCGAGCTCCTGATGCACTCCTTTGATATAGTGGTAAGCTGCTATCAAGTCCCCTTTCAGCCTTCTCTTCTTCAGGCTAAAGAGACCCAGGTCCCTCAACCTTGCCTTGCAAGTCCCTGATCGTATGGGTGGCTCTTTTCCGGACCCTCTCAAGTTTTTCCATGTCCTTATTGAAGTGTGGCCCCCAGAACTGGATGCAGTACTCCAGCTGCGGTCTCACCAGTGGTGCATACAGCAGGAGTATCACTTACTTAGTTTTATATGAGATGCATCGGTTGATGCATGCCAGCGTGTTGTTTGCCCTGCTGACCCCGCCTGGTACTGACGGCTCATATTCATACGAAGGTCGATCATTACCCCTAGGTCACTTTCGGCTGTGGTGCAAGTCAAGCTGTCACCACTGAGACTGTTGTGATGACTTGTCTGTTAGAGTTAACGTTTGAAAATTAAAAAAAAAAAACAAATTTAAGGACAGATGTTGTAAAATGCTGCATTGAGTTGTAAATTAACATGTTTTAGTGATCAGATTTGCGTCATTGTTTAAGAAATATGTGAAGAATGATTTAAATCACCTTGATTTAAATTAACCCACCCTGTTTATTTATTAGTTTTGCTTCCTGAAATAAAGGTGGGAATCAAGGTGAGAATGAAGTGAGGAACATTACACTGTTGCTAATATTCCATTCAAATAATAACATAATCACAGTTGACAATTCAATTTGTTTTTGTGCTGATGTTATAATTAGAGTTGGGCACAAAACAATTTTCCTATCCTGAGAAAGTATACAAGTTTTAAATGAACAGGGACAAAAAGTCAAACTCTTGATTATTTTCGTGAATGGAAAAATGGAATGGAAAACATTAGTCAATCAAAACTTTTCATTTGGTTAATTTCAAAATGTTGTTTCAATTTTGACCATTTTGTAATGAT